AGCTCCATTTCAATTTCCAGGTGTTTCTGCTCACGCTGCCTTTTACGTAATTCTCTACGTAACTTTCGCTCGAGACTGACTTGCCCCGATTCATCTAGATACAAGAAAGCAACGTATAATTTTTTTTCTTTATTATCTGACACTTCTGGCTGAAGCCCGAAAGTAGCATAAAATGCCCTTCACCTTCAAGGCCCGAGCTGCGCGAGGTTCCGTCAGGTGAGGACAAAGGTGAACCGATGTTGTGAGGACTTTGTGACATTGTAAAAAAGCAAGAATAATCCAAAAAAATATATTAAATAATGAATAAATGAATAGTAAAGCTTTTAATCTCTCAGGGGCTTCGTAGTCATTTACGGTATATTTAAGATGTATTTCATTTGCGCTATTTTTGGCATTGTGCAACAATGCGAGTTGAACTAGTAAATCATGAATAAAGATTGACGTTGTTTCTCAAAAGGGTTTATGAATTCTTTCTATGATAATGTCGGGTAATAACAAAGTAGCAAACCCTGTGCTCGACTCGATTAATTTTTTCAAAGGTAGTTTAATTAGAAAGCTTAGTCGTTAATTTTTTAATTTCTTAAGAGAGTAACCATATTTTCTATCGTTTTTTTTCACGTAGATATAATTGTTGGTGCCCTGGTAATTCTAAAGCCAATCTTTTCTACGGCACTCGCATTATGGATTGGATACTTCGCGTTGAAATTTGTGTCAAATTCATATTACGATGAAGTATCTTTGATACTTTGTAGCATGCCCTTATCAGGCATGCTTCCACTATGTCAAACGCCAATTCCGGATTTTACAAAATTGGTGAATCGACAGGTTGACACCTACGAACAAATAATGGACCAACAGCTAACGTATGATGGACCATCGTCATCACTAGCATTAGATATCAAGAAAGCGGAGCTTGCGACGGCGGACTTAAGAACCCTCATAAAGTATTCTTCGTTAGTAAGCGGACCTGAAATAGTTAATAGATTAACAGAGTTTGTTGAAAAGGCCAGAAATGTTGGAATGAACCTACAGGTTTTGCAGTCTAGAACTAAATCCTCCCTCGATAATTTGATCACGTATAATTTATTCGCCCTGAAGGCATTGGAAAATGTTCGGGATAAGAAAGTTAACGCGAGGGAATTGAGAACAGCATATAGTCAGATGATGACCTTGATCGAAGGGGATTTGAAAAGAATGATTCTTGTAGGACAGGCGGCTCTTGGAAGGTGAGAGAATAAATACGATCTTCAAGTGCATAAATTACAATATCTATTAATTATAGAACGTGTCTCTGAAACCTGCAGTCTTACAGACTTGGACGGGATATTGTTATCCATTCATGAGTTAACAACCCAAGAAGCATCATTGCAAAGAGCCGAACTTGGAAAACTACTGGCTGAGCTATGGTCCATAGTTGGAGGCAACTTGGAAAAAAAACAGATCTACAGAGAAAATTTAGAACTACTTCAAGACTTAGAGAGGCAAAGAAAGATAGCGGTATCACAAGTACAGACCACATTATATGGTCTAACATCATTTCAACTGGATATAGAGGAATTAAGAGAGCAAGTATCGAGACCGTCAATGATCGAGATGCCAATTGAAGTGCACATAGATAATGTTGGAAAGGGTATAGAGAGATTAAGAAATAGCAAGGTGGCGATAAAAAGTGGAGGAGTTATTGGCGATCCAAAGCATAAGATGATGATTGATTCTGGAAGTGATAATAAACCTATCGTTGACATTAATCTTAATAGCAACGTAGATACTATAGATGACATTAATGAATAAATGTACAGGTGTCTTTCAATAATAATTTTAAAGTGAATCATTAATCAAGTAGATTTTTCGTTATGTTTTACTTTGTTTAATACGCGAATTAGGTGACATGTCTAATTTCAAGTCCTCACTGTAACATACATTATCATTAACCTATTCAACCATAATCAGATAGATATATGATTGGAGTTACGTCAAGTAATCGTTGGGAAATAATCTAAATATTATCAATGGTAACTTGAAAAAGCAAAGACGCCATATCAAATGTTTTTTTTCCATGCATAAAAAATGATTATTTTTTATAACATTGATATAAAGTAAATCTTATAAAATAAAGTAATTTCAAATATCTTTTATTTTTAAAAAATTTCTTGATAATTTCTTTGATCGATAAATAAAGAAAAAAATTTTAATATTAATTTAATATTTTAATAGAAAAATAGTCAAATCAATGTATTCAAGTCATATTTAAAAAACATTTTTTTTTTTAATTGAAAACTGAAATTAATTTTTAATAAATTTTAAATTGAAAAATTTTGTAATTATTTAAATATCCTAAAATTATTGATATTTTAAATATGAAAATCACTATTATTATGGCTAATTATGTGAAAAATAATAAGTAAATTTTGTTAAAATCAATACATATAATAACAATAAAAAATTAAAAAAAATTAGTTATAAATAAATTTTTGTTACATTAGTTTTTTTTAAAAATTTATATAAAATGTTTTTTGAAAACTTGATATAATTATTAAATTTTTGTATTATAAAATTAAAATAATAGCAATAAAATATTTATTCTTAGATTAACAAATACAATATTGAAATTCAAAATTGAAACTAATTGATTTTTTTTTTATAATCAAACAAGTATTTTTATGTTTATTTAATCTTTAAAAGAAAATATAATTGTACTTGTACAAACATTTATGCATAAATTAATTACTTATATTTGAATACTTATCTTAAGTGATTAATCTCTAGATATGATTTTAGAGATAAATAGAGTTGTTTCTTCTTGTTTTCTATTTTTAAAAAAACTTAAGTTTATTGCTTACAGTTTATTGCTTACAGTTTATTACTATAGTTTATTTTGAAAACATCTTAATTATTTTATATTTTTAACAATTTTCTATCTTCTTTTATCTTATTCTATAATACTTTTATAAATTTTGATATATGGCTTAAGCTATCTATTATCAATTGAATTGCTATTGTTTTAAGATTTAATAAGTTTATTGAATCATCTTTTTCTTTTTTTAGAAATCTTATAAACAACTTAATCTCTTTTTAAATAAAATAGTTTTTTGTCTTTGCTTTTTTTTAAAAAGATCTTAAATTTTTTTGCATCTTAAATTCTAAATCAAATATCTTATTCTCTTATACTATAATTAAAATTAATTTGATTAGTATCTAAGTAATAGTTTTTAAAAAGAATTAAAAATTATATAGAATAATTTGTTGTTCCAGAGATAATTTTTTTCAAATATTACAAGTAGAATTTCTAATGATACCACTTTGATATCAATTCGATACTAGTTTAATACTTAAATTTATTATAAATTTATATAAATGGATCACAACTAAAAATAGGTTTCTAAATTATTTGTGAGGAAATAATTCAAATGTCTTTTATTATTAAAAATTTTCATTTCTATATTAAGAAATAAAAAAAAACCACCTACAAAGGTTTTTTATAGTTTTAAGCATCTATACAAATCATTTCTGAAATTATGTCCCTA